ACACACACACACACACACACACACACACACACACACACACACACACACACACACACTGGCAAAACCATTATCACCCGTCTTTCATCTGTGAATGCTTCAATAGGAATGAAGTTATAATTGAGCTATAATGTTATGATCACTCATATAATATTAGGCTGGTTCTCATTTAGTTCCTCAACAGGCAGACTGACTGAAAAAAGACCAGACCTCTAAAGTGCTGTCCTAAAAAGCATCCTGGCTCAGGTTGAATAATGATATGTGGCTCCTCACCCGGATGACCTCATTAAAACTGCATGCCTCTCTGGATGGACCGGACCGGAGACACAACACTGTTTGTTCAGTGGTTCTAACAGCACAGAGCTCAGAGCCATCAAACACACAAATGTTCATACAGCGTGGGCTTACTGTGTCAGCAAAAACATTAAGGTATTTCTATGAGATATTTTTAACAGTATCCAAATGTTTTAAGGACATTTCATGAATTTTCCCTAATCGTGTAAAGATCGTTTACAAGAAAATTAGCACAAAGACAAAAAAGTTAAATAAGTCTTTTAATGTGTAAAATGTATTTGAGCCAGGGTACAGGTTTTCCAACAAGAACACAGCAGCGTAGCAAAATGATTGGTGGAAATCACTTCCTCTGTCAGTGGTCACATATTTATGACTGAAATCTTCCCGGCTGCTAAAGGCAGATGATCATGTGCTGGTGTGTTTGTTTGTCTGTTGTCTTAGCAGAATTCAAGAAACACTGTAATCAAGTAGATTCAAGATGGCCACCACAGCTAAGTGATCTTAGAAAACACAAATATAACTTAAACTCAATCAATATGTTTAAATATTAAGCTAAATCTTGGTGAGGTAGCAGCTATGATGCATCCCAACACATACTGTAAATGTTACTCTGGGAGAAAAACATTGGTTACGTACTGTAACCCCAGATTCTATGAGTATAAGCGTAGCCCTTTAAGGCCTTCGCTTTAGTGGGTTTATCCCGTTATGCAAAGCATAAGCACTGAAAAAATTAGTCCACGCCCACCTGCTGTGTGGGCCCCACCCGGTCCGTATAAATTACGTTAAGAGCGGGAAATCGGCTCCCAAAATAGCTTTTTCTTCAGCCATTTAGGAGCCAGTGAGGCCCGACGCTTAAAGGGCTACGCTTATACTCATAGAATCTGGGGTTACAGTACATAACCAACGTTCTATGTCGTATAAGCTTCGCCCTTTAAGGCCTTCGCTTTAGTGGGTAAAGGGCGAAGCCGATGTGGTCCTCGCCTCACTGGGTCCATTCGAACACAGTAAGAAGCGGAAGCTTGCCCAAAAAACGTCTTGTCACTCAGCTCCCCGTGTGCATAACTACGCATCGCGTAATTATGTGCCATGCACAGACGCATGTTGAGTAACTATGCGTTCTGACAAAGCATGAATGCCCCGGAAAACTTTCAACGGAAAGAAGAAGTTGAAAAG